GGGGGAAAATGGGAATTCCAAAAAAAAATTGGGAATTCTGGGGGGAAAAATGGGAATTGTGGGGGGGAAATGGGAATTCAAAAAAAATTTGGGAATTCTGGGGCAAAAAATGGGAATTCTGGGGAAAAAATGGGAATTCAAAAAAAAAATTGGGAATTCTGGGGGGATAAATGGGAATTGTGGGGGAAGATCGGAATTCTGGGGGGAAAATGGGAATTCAGGGGCAAAAAATGGGAATTCCAAAAAAATTCGGGAATTCTGGGGCAAAAAATGGGAATTGTCGGGGAAAAATGGGAATTGTGGGGGAAAAAATGGGAATTCCAAAAAAACTTGGCAATTCTGAATCAGAATCTGGGAATTCTGGGGCAAAAAAATGGGAATTCAAAAAAAAAAAAATCCAGGAATTCTGGGCCAAAAGACAGGAATTCCAGAGAAATCTGGGAATTCCAGGCCAAAATTTGGGAATTCAGGGGCAAAAAAAAAGGGAATTCCAAAAAAAATCTGGGAATTCTGGGGCAAAATTTGGGATTTCTGGGGCAAAATTTGGGAATTCCAAAAAAAAATCCGGGAATTCTGAGTCAAAATCTGGAAATTCTCACCCAAAACCAGAGTGAGACTGAAATTCCAAAAAAATCCGGGAATTCTCAGAAAAAAAAAATGGGAATTCTGGGCCAAAATTGGGGAATTTTGGGCCCAAATTTGGGAATTCCAAAAAAATCTGGGAATTCCGGGCTAAAATTTGGGAATTCTGGGCTAAAAAATGGCAATTTTGAAAAAATCCAGGAATTCTGGGGAAAAATCTGGGAATCCCAAAAAAAATCTGGGAATTCTGGGGCAAAAAACAAAAAAAATGGGACTTTCCACCAATATTTGGGAATTCTGTCCCAAAATTTGAGAATTTTGCCGATTTTTGGGAGGATTTTCCCATTTTTGGGGTGAATTTTCCCATTTTTGGGGTGAATTTTCCCAATTTTGGGATGATTTTCTCCATTTTTGGGGTGAATTCTCCCATTTTTGGGTTTATATTGGGGTTATTTGGGATTTTTTGGCGCTTTTTGGGGTTTTTTGGGTTTATTTTTGGGATTTTTGGGGTTTCTGGGGTGATTTTGGGGTTTTTCGGGGCGCCGAGCTCATTTTTGGGGTGAATATTCCCATTTTGGGGTTATTTGGGATTTTTGGGTGATTTTCATGGTTTTTGGGGGTTTCTGGGCTGATTTTGGGGTTTTTTTGGGTTATTTGGGATTTCTGGGTGGTTTTTGGGGTTTTTTGGGGCGATTTTTGGGTTTATTTGGGGTTTTTGGGGTTTTTCGGGGCGCCGAGTCCATTTTCGGGGTGAATTTTCCCAAATTTTGGTGATTTCCCCCCGTTTTCCGCCCAGACTCGTTCGTGATCCGCCTCTTTGGGATTTTTGGGTTTATTTTTGGGTTTTTGGGGTTTCTGGGCTGGTTTTTGGGGTTTTTTGGGGTGCCGAGTCCATTTTTGGGGTGAATATTCCCATTTTTGGGATGATTTTGGGGTTATTTTTGGTGGGTTTTGGGGTTTTTGGGTTTCTGGGCTGGTTTTGGGGTTTTTCGGGGTGCTGAGTCCATTTTTGGGGTGAATTTTCCCATTTTTGGACGATTTTGAGATTATTTTTGGTGGGTTTTTGGGGTTTTGGGGGTTTCTGGGCTGGTTTTTTGGGGTTTTGGGGTTTTTGGGTTATTTGGGATTTCCGGGTGGTTTTTGGGGTTTCTGGGCTCATTTTTGGGGTTTTTTGGGGCGATTTTTGGGTTTATTTGGGGTTTTTGGGGTTTTTTGGGGCGCCGAGTCCATTTCCGGGGTGAATTTTCCCGAATTTTGGTGTTTTTGCCCCGTTTTCCACCCAGACTCGTTCGTGATCCGCCTCTTTGGGTTTTTTTGGGTTTATTTTTGGGTTTTTGGGGTTTCTGGGGTGATTTTGGGGTTTTTTGGGGCGCCAAGCTCATTTTTGGGGTGAATATTCCAATTTTTGGGATGATTTTGGGGTTATTTTTGGTGGGTTTTGGGGTTTTTGGGGTTTCTGGGGTGATTTTGGGGGTTTTTGGGGGCGCCGAGTCCATTTCCGGGGTGAATTTTCCCGAATTTTGCTGTTTTTGCCCCGTTTTCTGCCCAGACTCGTTCGTGATCTGCCTCTTTGGGTTTTTTGGGTTTATTTTTGGGGTTTTTGGGGTTTCTGGGCTCATTTTTGGGGTTTCTGGGGTGGTTTTTGGGGTTTCTGGGCTGATTTTGGGGGTTTTTGGGGGCGCCGAGTCCATTTCCGGGGTGAATTTTCCCGAATTTTGCTGTTTTTGCCCCATTTTCTGCCCAGACTCGTTCGTGATCCGCCTCTTTGACCGCAGCGTGGAGCTGGGGCAGTTCCCGGCCGGGACCCCCCTGTACCCCGTGTGCCGCGCCTGGATCGGGCACAGCCCCGCGCCCGCGCCCGCCCCCGAGCAGGTCCGCCACTGG